CAGACTTCTCACCCAAGTTTGCCACATATTTCACTCATGCCCAAGTCATTCAGGGCAACTATAAGAGCCTGCCTTTTGTATTTAAATCGAAAATAACTGAGGATAATTCAATCAAAAATAAAAAGAAAAGACACACGGATGTTGGAAAGATTTTGGCAATTCCTGTTGCTACTTGTATCCAACTTCCTTTAGCAAGCCTTTTCTGTACATCCTCCCTTTTCACCTTAATTATTAACTGCTAACCTTTCTACTACTCCCGATCCTTTGTCAGCATTGACTTCCAGTAACACGTGCAAAGCATTCAAGTATCCTACCTTTGCCCTGTGCCTTTAAGAATATTTTACAATATATGAGCACCTCACCCCTAAACTTGCCCTAAAATCCATTTTTAACTCATCACTGCTGGATAAAGGCTAAATCAAAAAACTTGCCTGCCTCTTGTCAAATGCATAAAAGATGGAATGGGTTGCTCCCAACATCAAGATAGGCTTCGGCAGACTTCTCACCCAAGTTTGCCACATATCTCACTCATGCTATTGACTGGCATACATCATTAGCCATGTCTGCTGACATTGTGTACACTGGGAATTAGGACGGAGCCAATAGGATTTGAGAAATGCTCCTCTCTTACCTAGCAATGGATCTCGTGTATATACTTAATGAAACTTTCCTGTTCACTTGTACAAGATCAACTCACCTCTTTGTGTTACAACCACAATATGACATTACAATATGGTGGCAACAATAAAAGAAAACTTTTATCAGATTACAGGAGCAGTGATGACCATTCGCATGCAAGCCTAAAAGGTGACTGGTAGCAGTTAGCCTCCCATGGTGAAGTACCAAGGTAAGACAGTGCACCCCCGAAAGTGGGCAAAAGAGGGCGCTGTTCTAGATCCCTCAACACAAAGATCCGCCAGTTGAAACAGACAGCCGAGACTCGCAGCAGGGAAAAACCTGCAATGATAAACCAGCCACTGGACTAAGCACCGCAGGGAAGTGACGGTAGGTTGCATTCTGTTTTGAACCATTTAACCCACTTCTGGACCTTGCAAGGGCTCCAACTAGTCAACCATCAGTGGTGCTGCCAGAGAAGATATAAAGCACAAACAGCATCATGGAAGGAAGAGGGGGAACTGCACGAGAAAAGTGCCAGCTGCCTTTTTACACACCGCTCAAAATAGCACAAAGAAACATTGCATGTTGGAACAAGGCTCTGCCCAAATCCCAGAAAGCTATGATCACAGTCAGAGTGCTCCTCATTACTCACAGAAGCGTGTGTTAAGAATGAGTAAGATTCATGCTTGAAAAGGCCAGCGTTCCTAACAAAATCGGGCTCTTGGAGAAGCTATCAACCAGGAGTGTGGAGGGTGGCAGATGTCCACCTTCAATCTTAACTGCTTTGAGTTAAACAAGGGCTTCGGTTGCTGCATTGTTAGAGTACATGGCTGGGGGAACATTGATGACCAGTGTTCCCTTCTAAGTCGGGCGTGCATACAGCCACTCTGATGTTCCATGCACAGTGACCAACATTAGCCACACCTATCAGATCATTGCCTTCTGACTCCAGAAGTTGCTGCAGCATACAGGTCTAGAATGCCTGTAAGAAAATTAGAGGGAACACTGTTGACAAACATCACACGTTCAACGCTTCACTTCTGGATGATTGAACCTTACGGTAAATGTTTAATGTCAGGCAATATTACAACACTAGACCGACAAATTGTTGTAATACTGTATGATTTCTAAGATTAACCACACTTGCTACTCAACAGGAAGCCTGTCCAGCCCTTGACCTCATGTAAGACAACACATTTTTTTACTTTTGGACTGTGGACTGAAAATGAGAAAATTGTACACTACTTTTTAAAAGAGGAGAACGTATAAGGAGTGTGATCAACTTGGAGAAATGGGTGAAGCTAGCTGATGCACGTGGAACAATCCAACTTTTTTGGGAGCATTGAGCCAGATGAAATTTCACCATTTATTGTGGGGTCAAGAAGGTTAAGCAAAGTAACAACCCTCTTGATTCCTCAGGCTGCAGCCTAACACATGCAGCCTGTGACAGAAATGCAAACAGAGCAACAAGCAAACATCCAAAGTTGTCTGGATCAATAACTCTCTGACCCCTGTCACAATAAATTAGCTCCAATTCTCTGTCAGAAGAGCAGGAAAACTACATTCAGAAATGCTGAACGAAATAAGTCTAAAACCCAAATGGTAAAGAAAGACAGTGGGTCAAAATAATCAGTGAGTGAACAAAAGATTGGTCATCACTGTGAAAATAATAATAATAATAATAATAATAATAATTGAAGAACTAACCCATCAGTTTTTTGTGATTTGAACTGGCAATACAAAAGAATGTTCCCTGACTTTTTTTTTTCTCCACACAGCAGTTGTGTCTTGCCTGTTTCTCTTTATGTGTCTATTTTTGTGTGTGAATTTAAAGTTTAAGTTGTACAGTCATAAATTAGAAATTTATTTTCCCTATTATCTGCCATTGGTCAAGAAAATCAATTTGGTCACAGTAAATAGATATTTTCCTTTTAATGACCAAAACTTGGTGTGTATTTCTTCTAAACTGAATCAGATAGTCAAGAAAACTGTGAATTGTGGTCGTTTACTTAACTTTTCACCCCTACAGTGACTCCAAGGAACAGTGGGGCTCGATATCAGCACATGCTCCCAAATAAGCTATGACATTCATCCTTAAATTATATGAAATTGAATTTAGACATCAGCTTCCCTGCCTCTTTACAAGCCCAGTGAAGCTCAGTACGGCATATGGCATCATACTCAAGGCAAATGTTGTTCAGACCCAGGATGTTCATACATTGGCTTAAGAACAAGATAGATGAGAAGACTGAGGTCGTGCTCAGCAGAATATTGTTTCGAAGCTCGTGCAGCTGAGTATATTGCCAGACCCCAACCCAAAATCATCCATTGGAATTTTTTTTTAAGTAGTTCATGGATGTGAACATTGCAGGTTTAGCCTTGGCGACTCTCTGGGTGGAGTTTGCACTTTCTCTCCATGTCCGTATGAGTTTCCTGTCAGTGTTCCTGTCTCCTCCCACAATCCAAAGACAGAGTCATAGAGTCATGCACTGTAGAAATAGGCCCTTTGATCCAACTCGTCTACACGAGCCAGACATCTCAATCTGACCTATTCCCATTTGCCAGCATTTGGCCCATATCCCTTTCAACCGTTCCTATTCATATATCCATCCAGGTGCCTTTTAAATGTTATTATTGTACCCACCTTCACCACTTCCTCTGGCAGCTTGTTCCATACACTCACCACGCTCTGCGTGAAAAAGTTACCCCTCTGGTCCTTTTCAAATCTTACCCCTCTCACCTTAAGTCTATGCCCTCTAGTTTTGGACTCCTCCACATGAGGAAAAAGATCTTAGCATGTAAACCTCTATAACATCACCTCTCAGTCTCCAATGCTCCAGGGAGAAACAATCCCAGCCTATTCAGCCTCTCCCTATAGATCAAACCACCTTCCGACCTAACAACATACTCGTAAATCTATTCTGCACCCTCTCAAGGTGACCTTACCAATGTCTTGTACAATCACAACATGATGTCCCAACTCCTATACTCAGTGTTCTGACCAATGAGGGAAAGCATACCAAACACCTGCTTCACCACTCTGTCTACCTACGACTCCACTTTCAAAGAACTATGCACCTGCACCCCTAGGTCTTATCTTTAGGATAGCAATGAATGTTGCTATTCACAGATTGCTATTGTTTTCTGTGCTGAGAACACAAGTATTTTTTTCCCACAATCTTTTAATTTCTGTAAAACATGTACTGCAAATCTTGTTAGAGCTTTCATCGGCCAT